ATTCCTTTCTGAAATCTTCCAAAGGTGCACCTATCATCACTGCAATTGAGTCCATCCACTTTGCTGCTGGTTGTCCTCTTCTCTTTCCTTCCACCTTTCCCAGCATTATAGACTTCTCCAGAGAGCTAGGTCTTCACATAATGTGCCCAGAGTATGATAATTTGAGCCAGGTCATTTGAAGGACTAATAGTTATGACTGAAATAAGAATTAAAAAGTAGCTGCCGTGGTAATTAAAATGGGATCAAAGCACCAATCTGGATTGGCACAATTGGGAGAAGGAATCTATTCAAGTTATCACTTTCTCCTCTCTTCCTTAGGGACCAGCTAACAAAGTAGCCCTTCAGCAATACAAGTAGTCCCCAGTTTAAGAACGAGTTCTGTTCCCAAGGTCTGTCCTTAAGTTGACTTTGTATGAAAGTTGGAACAGTATTGTATAATACTGTATAAATAGCATTGTGTAATGAACTCAAACCATTGTGTATTTAACTTGAATTTTGCTACAATAGGCTGTTCTTAACTATGGGTTGTCTGTAAACCAGGTGTTCTTAACTGGTTCCAGTGAGTTAGAAGATACTATGGAGATTGCTTTGGCCAACCCCAATCTTCACAAGACTTCTCTATTCATTCAGCAGGTGTTAGCCACTATTATTTTGAGACATTTTAGGTAAGAAATTGGGATAATCCAAAACACATTTAAACAGAGATCTTTTGGGACAAGCGATGCAAATATATCAGAGGCAAAGAGGTGGGGCTCATTTGTGAGGAAGTGGTCCAGTCATGCTATTGAAAACCTATCATCTTGCTGCCAATCACGTATGGGGAGATGAACATAAATTGGAAGCCAAGATGCCCCCTCCTGTTCTGGAGAACTGAAGAACGTGTACCTGTCTGGTTACTAACCTTAATCCTTATCCATAGCTGAGCACAAAGGAAAAATAATAGCTTTCAATAATATCCAAATGTTTCTTAAGATACATGTTTTATTGATTTCTGCATCTTCTTTTCCCTAAAACATGAAAAACTTTGTCCTATTTACAGTAGACATTTCTGTTGTTATACAGGTATGTGTCTAGTCCAGGCATACCATAATATTCCATAATTGAATTAAAACTGATCTGTGATCTGCTACAATCCTCAATTGCATTTTATTAGATCTGCTCCATCAGAGATTTTTTTCTTAACCATCTTTCTGCTAACCTCAAGAAAGCACTTATTAAAGTAGACGCTATAGTACAGATAAAGTACAGACTAGAAATCACTCCCAGTACTGGTTTTCTTTGCTGTAGCAGAGGTCCTGTTCTTAACAGTTGCATGCCCAAAATAATTTATTAGCTGAATTTTTCCTCAAATCTATTGATCTACTCCAGATATACATTTTTCATAAGCTTATATGAAATGGAAAGGGTACCCTGAAGCTCTTGTTTGAAAGCTGTTGCGTTTTTTCTTGAAGATTGGCCATGATCACAAAAACAAAGCCTCCAGCTGAGACAGAACTACAACTTCTATCTGTTCTCTGTATTTATTATAATACAGAGAATATGCAAACAATGTTATTAAAAAGCCAATTAGAGTTTGGATTCCGTATTAACTTCTATTCTTGTTATATTAGCTGGAAAGCCGTACACACAGTCTAATGAAGAGTTCTGGAGAACCAAAGGCATGTTACTATTTCATGACATTTTGACTGGTCCCATTAAAAGTCTTGCCAGACACAAGAACTGACACACTTTCCTAAGACGACACTTTAAGGAAGTGAACTAATATGGCAACTACTCAACTGCTTCATGACATAAATGATTTTCAAGCAAGAAAACATAATTAATTAAAATGTAATATTATTCATAGATGTAGCAATGCCTTATATAGACTGGCTGATGATACTGATTATTCATAAGTAACAGTTGGTTTATATTTAGCATTCCTACATTTTTCACACAAATTGAAATAAAGCAAAATAAATATGTTGTAGAAAGCAGCCTTTTTAGTCAGAATTTGATAATTATGCAATCACTAGCTTGCAGATATCCAACTTTCTAGCCCAATAGTTATCTTTTACACTACATTACTCATCTGTCAGTCGTATGAAAACACCCAAGGAAACCTGAGAAGGTAGTTCAAGTAACCATTCATTTTCAAAAGAGAACATACCTCGGTCATTTCACTCACTTGCCCATTCCAAGGAATTTCTGGCATATGGGTGGCTATAATAAAATTGCATCATCCTCCATAAATTAAAGGGCTGGAGTCATCACATGAACAGAGAAGACCTCATACTATGACTGACATTCAAATGTACAGCAGATTGCAAACTCTTTGGTCTACAAAATATACACTCCAAGTATTCTTCTATTTTACATTGTAGCCAGTCTGTCTTGTTCCTTTCTCTTTCCCTTTCCCCTTGTTTTGCCAGGGACAACCAAGAGCCAGCACTTACGTATATCAGAGGGGTGAAATGGCAGGATAATTATGTGCCATCAAATCCATAATGGTATGTGGGAAAGGCCTTGGGAGACAGGATGAAGAGATGCTGCCTAGGGAATGGTCAGATAAGAGAGAGCATAGTCCACAGCTGGATAATGGGCATGGCAAGAGGCTCAGAAGGGACCCTCCCTAGCTTCCCAGGCTGTAAAGGAGATAGCAGGAGATCTGTACTTTCAGACTTGCAAGATTCTGTTAAGGCAGACTTACAATAAAGTTGAATTAGCTCATCTGGTCATGTTTCTTGTCTGGTCTGTCTGGTAAGGCTGACAAGTCAGACTCAACTGTTAGTATTTCAGGAATGGTGGGATGAACAGTCTACTTTAATAATCAGTTGTCATCCAATAAATTTTATGGACATTTTATTTATATTTATTTATTTATAATTTATTTATTTATAATTTATTTATTTATTTATAATTTATTTGTTTATTTATAATTTATTTATTAAAATAAATTCATTTTATGGAAAAGATGTGAAGCAAGGGAGAGAAAGGAAGAATATAACCAGATGTAGAATCTTTTTTTAAAACAAGCAGCATCTTACAATTCCTATGTCACTTTGTAGAGAAGAGAAAGTATAAAATCATGTCCCCTTTAAAGAAAAGGAATTACTCAGGTCACTCAGACAATGCCATTTCAGGTATATAATTTCATTTCCATCAGGCACACTAATACATATTACTGTTGTGCAGACTAATTTTACTTCTAGGCTAAATTGCGGTCACTCTCGACAACCCCTCCAAGAAGCAGTTAGGGGCAGATTTCCAGAGCTTGTTGGAAAGAAATTCATTCTTTTGCTTACGACTCATTTTCAGGGGTGGAGACTCAAAGTACCAACTACATTCCTAATTCTCCTTTTGAAAAGCACATTTCTCACGTGCATTCTCATTCACTGATGCTGATAGACACTGCTAGATTCTACATTTATTTGGAACGTGTGAACAGGAGCTTTCCCCAGTTATTGTGGATCTTCATCTCCATTCAGAATGACCTGCCATTCCTTCTCATGTAAATCAAGAGGTAAGCAGTTTCACCCCTGCAGGAAGGAGAGGAGGAAATTAATGATGGGAAAGCAATCAACACATAGCACAACAGTCAGGCAGCAGTTAGTTCTCCAAACAACTTCCAGGGGAGTATGTAGAATCATAAGAAGTTGTTTTGTCTGGAATTCAATCAATTTAACTTGCTGCTAACTGGGACAAACAACTTGGTGTCCTCCAAATATTTGGGATTTCCACTCTCATGATCAGTAGTAAAAGAGAGTAGTAGTAAAAGAGAGCCAGTTTGGTGTAGCGGTTAAGATACCAGGCTAGAAACCAGGAGACTGGGAGTTTTAGTCCTGTCTTAGGCACAAAGCCAGCTGGGTAGCCTTGGACCAGTCATTGTCTTTCAGCCCTAGGAAGCGGGCAAAGCGACCAACCACTTCCAAAATCTTGTCAGTAAAACTGCAGGGACTTGCCCAGGCAGTCGCCAGGAGTCATCACTGATTTGAAGGCACCATAAATAAATAAATAAATAAATAAATAAATAAATAAATAAATAAGTAAGTAAGTAAGTAAGTAAGTAGTAATCTGCCATTCTGGTGGGAGCTTATAAGAACTGTAGTACAGAGCATCTGAAGATAATGCATAACCTCTCCTTGGCTTACACAACTGCCAGAACCTTTTTTTCCCCAAGTTATGTGGGGATGGGATAGCTGATCCAAGAACATTTGGCACATAAAGCATTCACCTTTCCACCTAACTGCAGCTTTTAGTAGTCCACAAAAAAACAGAAGGGGGGATAAATAAAGGTGGTTTCTACAATGGAAAAGCCATGAGCAGAAGTCCAGCAGAAACAAGGAGCCATAGCAAGATTGCCATCATGTATTTATTGGCATGCATATTTCACATCACAAGGTAACTTTCTCTAACCTGAGGACCTCCAAAGGCATTGAGACTACAGTCCCAGAATTCCTAAAAGCCAGGACCTGCACAGCAATCTTGTGAATACAAACTTGGCTCAAGACCAGAGATTTCAAGCCGTCTGTAATGGATACTTTGAGATGAAGCTTTGATCTTGCTACCACCCTGCATCAGTTATTGAATTTTACAGGGCTTCAAGCAGTTTTGTCTTCCATTTTTCAACACTACCTTTTCAATACCATTTCTCCCATCTTTTTTTTTTTTCTAAGCAGAATTGAATATGTTAAGGAAGAAACAGTGAAACAGCTTCACCATGCTTTTTGGCTTAATTCTCCACAACAAGACCGTCTATCAAGGCTACACTCCATTGCCCTGAAACCATCCATACGAAGCCTCCTAGGAAGTAGGGAGAAACTTAGCAAGTACAGTTTTATTCATAGTTTGGCAATGATTAAATATGTCATCCAAACAGGTTTGCTGTGGTTGGAAGTAGAATGTATCCTTTGGAGGACAACCTACTTAACCCTGCCAAACCACTGAGAGCAGTTGAAAGCCACACCTTCCAGGCTGTTCCTGGGAGGAACCAGGAGCCAACCACAGAGGGCACAATGCCACATTATTATTTTATGGCTAATAAAAATGCACAATCAAAGACTGAATTTACAAACTGTATTGAGGTTTGTTAAACCAACCCAAATTGATAACATTTGCACAACATACTAAACCCTATCTACTGTTTACCCTAACACTAACCACAATTGCTGGTTATTTTAATTTTAGTCTGCCTTTCCTTTAGGAATTCAAGGCAGCATATCTGGCACTTCTTCCTCCGTTTTTTCTCCATTAAAAATCACCCTGTGAAGGAGGCTGGGTTGAGAAATAATGACAAGTCCAAATTCACCTAGTGAACTTGAATGGCAGATGGTGGACTTAAACCATGGTCTCCCAAGTCCTAGTCAGCATCTCAGTCACTGCACCACTAGCAGTTCAGTGTGATTGTTGAGCTGTATCCTGTATCTACCCTAGGCCAGTTCATCCCAAACAAAATGTACTAGTCTAATTTTATCCTCCACACAGCCAGCCATATTCTAAGGTCTCCTCCTCCTCCTCTGTACTACTACCTCCATCCTCACCACCAAGCCTTCCAGCTGGATTAGAATAAAAACCCAGCATTCTTCCTTACCAACAGAGAGATGCTCTCCCATAAGTACATTTGACATCATCCCAGGATACCTGCAGAATATAAAGCATAAGGGTCCACATTCAAGGGTATTATTCAAAAACCCTGTCTCACCTATTGAATGCCAAGCCATGGTTTATTTTAATTAGTTTGTCAAACCACCCAGAAACAAATCAATCTATCTTGTAGATGAACAAAATACTCTGGGCAATCTTGCCCAATTTCTGTTTCAGTTTCATTCCTTGTTTAGTTGCTCTTGCCTTGAATCTCTGTGGATGGGTTGGGCAGACATAACATCAACCAGGAAAAAAGGTTTCAGATTGTGGTTTACTGCCATAAAATACTGGATATATTGCACCTCATGTTAAGGCACAAGCCAACTTAGTGCAACAAGTAACCTTCTGTGAAAAATGCACCATTTGTAACTGCTGTGTCCCATCTTTATAGCACAAGTATTCACTAACAGATTACATTTTTGTACTGTAAATATCTCAATATAATCCTTTTTAATAACAACTCTTAGGCAGATTTTAAGTCATAATATGGGTTGCTTGGCTTTAGCTAAGAACAGATATAGATATTGCAAGGCTGAAATATTTATGGGTTTATGGGTTAGAAATAGAAATATGCTCTGCTTTTTCTGTTAAACATGATTAAACAAACCGTGGCTTAGCATTTGCATAAAACCAGTCAGTATGTGCAGATCACCCATTTAAAACTATAATCTGTTTCCAAAATGGAGAATCACTGCCTTTCACGTGACATTGGACTGTCATTCCCATCACCCCTTACTGAACTGGATGTGGTTATTGGGAGTTCAGAGTCCAACACCATCTAGTCAGCCATGTTTCCTGCCCCTGATTTGCTGAACTTCCTAGCCTTCTAATTTCAGTTGCCATCTTGACATTTTTTATCCCCCTCTCTTCCTCCTACCTCTGCAGAAATCCCAGATTCAAGTCAAAATGCATCTAGCAATATTGGAAATGATCGTGATTCTGTAAGACTATCTCAAGGTCTGGCTTCCTCACCTCACAAACACTGGAATCGTTGAAGCAATACCACTTGTGTTCAGAGAGACTCCAGATGTAGGCACAATAATGACCAAAATCAGCTGGTCCTGAGTGTGCAACAACCGCAAAGAGATCATACAGTCCATCACTCTAGAAAGAAGTACACAGCAATACTTTAAAGAAGTACAAACCAGATGCAAAACTTCCTTCTTTTAACAAGGAATGACTATTATCGCAACATCTCTCCTGGACCTCCTACTGTCAAAGGGCAACTGCCCACAACTTGAGCTCCTTTTTTTCAACTCTTTCCCCTAACAAGTCCTGTTCTTTGCAGGCTTACTTTTCACGGAGCAAGGACTAGGGCATTTATCGACAAGGCAACTGTTGATTTTAGGGGGGAGAGCAGGGGGAGGGCTCCTCATGCAAAAGTAGAGCAGATGACTTGGGAATTTTCAGCTGATTTCAGCCAAGGCAAGTTGGGGGAAAAAAAGGAACTTTCTTCACCTGCATCTAACCATGCTCCAGATATGTTGTGCTGGGTGCATGATGTTTCCTTCACCTCATCCTTATCTTTTCTGGCTTTAAAGTGGTGTTTCCCAAATAAGCCATGGCAGGTTCAAGGTGGATAACATCTGATGCACTTTGCCAACTCTTCTATTAGTGGTGAAGTCAGATGATTCACACAGGGTATCACAGCCTGATGTCTACTGGTCATTTCAGGATGGTGCTGGCATGCCCCCTCCCCTTCAGTCTTGGGCATGCTTCTCGGAAACCATTTTTCCTTCTTCTTCCAGGTGGAAAGAGCTGGCACAACGAGGCCCTCAAAAGCATTTCATAAACTCATCTCATGTTAAGCATCTGAATCCACAGAATTCAGCTTTTGTCTCTCCAAGAAGCCAGACTCATATAACCATTTATACAAAGGCAATACTGGTGACAATCAAACTACCTTTATAATTCCACCAAGAGTCATTAAGGAGGTGGGTTTATTCCCTCAATAATTTCTGATTTGCTGACTAGATGCAGAATGTCAACCATGAAGATTTTCATAATTGGGTAAAGCCGGTCAGCCTCTCCATTCCACCCCACCCCACCCCATCCCAAGGCTCATATTCATTTATCCTTTATATTCTACAAAACTGAGTATTAGATTTTTTTAAAAAGAATGTTTATATCTCTTATCCATCTATCTATCTAATTTGTATGCCACTGAATCTTCAAGATTCAAAGCAGCTTTCATATTAACATAAAATGTCCACAGTAAATAAAAATAATACAAGAATAACCAGCAATACAATATCTGATAATAAATAAGAAAGATTTAAGTAAAGATGGGGAACAGTCATTCCACAAAGGCCCTCTGGAAGAGAACTTGTTCTTTAAAATCTTCCAGAAGGCCATCACAGATAGGGCCAGTCTAGCTTCTAGAGGAAACAGGTCCGACACTTAAGGCTTATTCAAGGAGAAAACAGCTAACCAATTTAGTTAGGCTGATTGGGTTATTTTATTTGAAGTGTGTGATTGTTAACTTCTCATTTTCTCTTTTTCCAATACATCTCTTTCAGAGAGAGAGATCTGACTCCATGTGAACATTTCTTATTCAAACCTTCCCAGCATGCAAGGCTGCACAGTTATACCTTTACTTTTGTACTGTAGGACTGGCACAGGACTTGTTAAGGTCTGCATTTCAGGGTTTGGGGCAGGGGGATCCAAAGCACCTTCATTTATATTTTCCTAGAGCTGGGCTGAAGGAAAACATCCAGGGTATAAGGAGTAAGAATTCTCCAGCTGAACAGATTAGAGCAGTGTTTCTCAACCTTGGAAGCTTGAAGATGTGTGGACTTCAACTCTCAGAATTCC